GACGCAGGGTCGTCAGTGCGGCAGCGAACACTGTTTTGTTCGGCCCGATGAACCGGAGCATTATCCGCTAAGCCACGCTCAGTGCGAGAGCTGGGGAGCAGCGATGGTAGAGCTCTCATCTGTGATCTCGATCTCATAGTGCCTCACGGCTGATTTATATCCATTAGTTGAAGGGCGACGAGTTCGCGACCATCAACAAACCCCCAAACAACGAATTGTTCGATAAGCTTGATCCCCGTGCACTGGCTGCACGTTCCCCACTGCTGCAGCGTCGTCTCGAGCTCAATCAACAGAAGGCCACCGCCGCCGCACCGCAAATCAACATCAACTTCCCACCCGAGCTTGTCGGCCTATTCGGAAGACCTGCTGCTCCTCCTGAACCCGCCGTTGCTGTCGTTCCCGCGTTGATACCTAGAGCCCCACCTGCACCCCCTGACGTCGCCATGCTCATACCACCGGGCATTGCTGCCGGTCCAAGTCTTTCCGTTGAAGAATTCTGTGCGCAATACGAGCTGGATGACGACATCTGCACCCGAATCACGCAGTTCAAGTACAAGAAAACCGATTCGTTCCGTTATATCGCGCTTCACCAGCTGGAAAAGATGGAATTTATGGCCGGGGAGGTGGCGGAAATACAGGTTGCGATTGCAAAATGGAGTGTGCCGATAGTTTAGAATCCAAATGTAACGTTTCGTTCGCATAGCAATGTACAAAATCCTGCTGAACTAAAAGTACCCTGCGTGAATAAAATAGCCAATTGCGTCCGACTCAGTGATGACATTCATTGCCTCCATCATGTCGTAAATTAGAGCGTGTTCATTAGTGTCGGGTCCATACGAAAATAGATCGTTGTTGCGACGAATCCAAGCTTTGATCTTGGAAAATGCCTCTTCAATTGGATTCAAATCCGGGGAGTAGGGAGGCAGATATAAAATGCGAACACCTGGGAAAATGTGAGCTCGTTGTCGCAAAAAACAAAGCAAACACACCGACCAAATCGATCGCAGAGCTCGAGTATCTCGTGACCATGATGGATGCGAGCATTATCCATGACGAGAACACTGAGGGGCCCAGGATAAGGAGAGCACAGCGGGAGCTAAAGCTAAATGGGCACGAGGAAGCAGCAAAGAAACAAAAACCCACAACTTGTTGTTCAAGGAACTCCAAGTATTGGTCGCGATGCATTGATCCTTCGACAACCTTGCACGCTAACATCCCACGACATGTAAGAAAACCTGTCGCAGAGAGACGCCTGCCGCGCACAAGCTTCTGCCGCTTGTATGCACGCTTTCCTTTCCGGGATCTGCCATAATGTCGATTCGGAGTTTTGTCGTTTTTGGAGGTCTCGTCGAGAAATCCGAGAAAATGAGGTGGATACTGAGATGCCTCCCGAATGAAGTCCATACGAGTGGGTTCACTCCGCTCGGCGGCAATTGCTGTCAGAAGTACGCGTGACATCCCTGCGCGCTCGAGCTCACGAAAGATAGTTGTGAAATGGACAGAAATGAATCGGTTATGAGCGAGGAGGTCGAGAAGTTCATCCAGAAAGTAGTCAGGGTGGTGGCGAATCAGGCGTAGGAGGTAGTCAATGTCATCATAATGTAAAAGCCGGCGCCGTCCAGTGCGCTTGCATGGCTGTACGACGTCGCCCGTGGTTCGCCAAAGTCTAAGGACACGATAGAAGGTTCGCCTAGAGAAGCCCACGCAGTCAAGGATCTGCTTGAGCGATAGAATGTTTTGTTCGTATAGATTGATGGCTGCAATCTTGACGTCGCGGCTGATGGACCGGTTTCCCATTCGGAATGCAACTGTAAAGAGAGAGAGTATGAGATCTATGAAGAGGTTGGATCAGCTTTACGACACACCAGAAATCAAGGGAATCCGTGTAAAACTGAGTGATAATCGGACGCGACGATCTGACGCGTCTAGAGTGCGCACGAAGAGAGCGATACACGAGAGCAAGAAACTACCGTAGATGATGAGTTCCCTATGAACAGGGGCAAAAATGCCGTTCGAACGCGCCTATTTTCAGGCGAATCGGTCAAGAAACGGGCGAGAAACGAGCCAGACAATGCAAGCTGGAGCCGAATAAGGTCGAGAAAAGAACACGCAAATAGGAGGTGAGACCTTGATAGAATGAAAGCGGCTGCAAAACGTGTTCGAAAGCGCCTACTCCCGAGTCAATCGGTCAAGGTTTGAGCAAGATATGAGCGCGACAAGAGGGAGGGATCAAATTTGCTCTTATTTACAAAATGATCGCTGGTGCCATTAACTCTGCAAACGGCTGTAAACATGTGACTTCACATGACTTATCAAAGAGGCTGTGCAATGTATGTTTTCAAGTATAGGAAATTATATTTATGGGGATCTTGTACGATGTAAAGTGGGGCTTTATCCGATACTCCCTGGTTTCTGCTCCTCATCGGGAGCAGGTGTCAGAGTCCAACTGCAGGAGCGGAGATGATACTCGTCGGGAACGTGCTGGAGATGCTGGAGATACCAGAGAGCGGCACGCTCATGGCTCCGACTGACGTTGCTGTACCGGTGGCGGTAGCCGTCACAGATGGGGTGGGCAGGAAAACGAGGCAAGTGGTGAATATTTCGTAGTCCGGATCGGGCTGCGGGACCGTCAGTGGCAGGGCGTGCACAAAAGCGGAATATGCGCACGATGATGGGGCCACCAGGATTGACGCAGGACGGGCTGGGTTGGGGAGCTTCCGAGGCTGTTGAAACTGGGAAGGAGGGCGCGGACGGAACGGTTGCATCGCTGCTAGAGAATAGCGTTGCGCTCGGGGGAGCTTGGATGGACGCGAGTGAGGCAGTCGGCTGTCCGATGGAATCAGTGGAATCTCCCGGGTCAGAGTCGGGGGCGTGTAGGCGCACCGTCGGTGCAGAAAATGTGAGGGTAAGACAGGTTGTGTACACGCCGGTCACGACATAGCCACCAGTCGCAGTTGGGAAACTTGTGTTCATTGTCGTCGAGAGTGTTGTGCCATTCCCAGTTACTGCGGATGCAGAGGCGGATGCTGTCACACTTCCACTAAGGACGCTTGATGACGCTATAAGGGAGCTCTACGAACGAACATGGATTAGAACCGTCTCGTTAGATGCCGCAAAACGCTCACGGAGAACACACGAGCGTTGGCTAGCCCGAGAGCGCTCAGTCCGACGACGGCAGAGACGATGTTCTGGAAGCCCTTGAAGCCCTTCATAGTGAGCGGAGTTAAATTGGAATCGGAATTAAAATGGGGGATAACTTGCCAGTAATACGAGAAGGACGGCATTTATATAGTTAGTCATATACACAGCATCACATATTCGCAACGTATTTCCGACACACCGATTTCATTCCTTGCTCCGGACTCCACAAGACCAAGGAGCATCTTCTAACGTGATGAGGACCCCGCTGTGGAAACACGACGTTGATTCCGAACAAGTCACCGCTGGCCAGGCGCCATTTACGGTGATAATTGCGCTGTTCATATTCAACGCGGCGTTAGTTGAGCAATATGCGGTTAGATTAATATTGACATGAAAACGATAGTCATCGAGATGTGGCGGACGCGAATCAGCGACGTACTATGCTCACCACTGCGTCGTCCAGTTGCATTGGAATTGCAGGCAGCCTCAACGCTGCCCAATTCGAGCGCCACCTGGTGGCATTTGATATTGCAGAGAGACGGGTATGTACACCCCGAGCGAGAGTCGTTTCTGTTGATCACTATATAGATCAATATATCCTATAGCGTCCAAGTTGAAATTAAGTTAGTTTTGTGGATTCAGAAACGGGGAAGAGCGAGTCATCAATTTGTAACACATTGAATTGAAGACACCCCGGAAGTTATGATGAGCACCCATGCAGTGGCATTGGGAAACAAGCCTGAATTGAATGGGTAATGAGGGTACTGACGATGTGCGGTCCGTTCAAGGAGTAAATGGAGCATATACGCCAAGTAATATCGTGTGTCCGACGGACTCCAGCGGGTTATTTCCATCATCGCAGAGGGCCAGCGCTCAATAAATCGGGGATGTTTTATGGATGTAAAGCTTGCAACACAGATGAGACAAAACCGATTGGCCATTGGAGAATTCGAAAGATCATTGTGAAGCGTCCTCGGGACTCTGAGTCTAACACTTGGTCTGATACTAATAAGACGCTCGAACTAGCTTCCGTCAAGTCAAGCCACTGTCAGGGAAATGAATCGAGCTGTCTGCTGTCGTTGTCAGTTTATTCAAGTCGCCATTGAGAATCTTGAAGGGTTAATTGAGGTCAAGTCGAGACTCGAGGCAGAGTCGAGGTGAGGTGACGTGGTAGATCGGAGTGGCGTCCGACAATCCGGAGCTCCGAGCGATGATCCGATGGATGCACAGCCTTTTCGTTTGTCTCTTTTCGTGTTACTGTCATCAAGCCAACTTGCGCGCTGAGCACTCAGGCTAAAGGCCTAGCTAAACGGTCTTCGAATCGACTCCGAAATCGAAAAATTTTGTTTTTCTTCTGACCTACGAACTCGCCGCTCAAAACATTCATTGCTTTACAATTTGTGCCATCCACGCCAACAATGTCGAAGCATCCATCGTCACTGAGCTCCTAGCATTGTAAATTGAAAAATTCGGCTATTACAACATTGGGCTACACCGTAAAATTTTCTCGAAGAGATGCAATCCATCTCTGGTGGCACCCCACTCTTACTCACTCTTCCCCCCAGTCACTTGTCCCGGATACTCGAAGAATTTCTGCATATTAGTAACGCATAACTTCCAGTTCACTGTCTGTCTTTCCGCAAACTTAACACCGTCCCTTTCCTTCCCCTTGTCCTTCCGTCTACGGGATTCTTCCACGTCGTATCCGCACTTTGCTAAGTTATGCAGATGTTCCAATAACTCTGGCCGTCTTTCAATACGACGATCCGACCGACCCGGGCCAAGCTTGAATCCGCGAAACATTTCAGAAGGCCCCGTAATCTGTGGGTTCCTTCTGGTGTATGAATCGGTACGGATATTCGGACATGGTGTAATGGATAGCACAGCTTCGGACATCATCCCGATGGGACGGGATTGGAAGCAGACCAAGGTTCAATTCCTTGTGTCCTGGATTTTTTTTTCGGTCTCTCAAATCCGAGCGGCATGCAGCTGTACATGTGTTCCACACTCGGATTCACGTTTCCGGTATTTCACTTTCTGACTTCCTTTGCTTTACAACTGAACTCGCCTTAGCCTTGAACAATTGGACCTTGTGAGTCACCGCACTGCCTGGTTGGATCTCTGGTCGTCTAATCTCAACGTTTTCTCTTTCGCCACGCCCGCGATGATTCACGCCACTCGATTACAAACATATGCGGTCCAACAATTAACGGTGGGCATACGAATAAGCATCAAGAGGCCGAGATATCTACAGCGGGTGCATTACACCTGCAACGAGTCCTTCAGTGTATCGCCAGAGGAGGTATTCAAAATCTCGATGATCATATTCAACCGATTTCATTCCTGGGAAGCCGGTGATTAGTCGTCAATAGCTTGCGCTTTCAAGTTCATTTCTGCTGATAGAAATGACAGTTCACATATCAGCTCGACAGAGTTTGAGTTGGTGCGTTTCAAATGAACTTGAGTGCAATTGAAATCCAATCTCATTAGCGTACTTTCAATCCAACTTATACATGATACTTAACTCCTTGGTTCAGCTCAAGTTTGAGTACAGCGGACGTGCGATTCAACTCTGTCCATTTCAGACAGCTCGTCCGGCGTGCCTAAATTTGGCATTTTTTGGCAGTGTTCGCCCTTAAGGCCTTAAATCGGGTTCCCAGGGCTCTTAAGGCCTTAATAAGGGTTAAGGCCTTAAATTTAAGGGCACTTTAAGCCCTTAAGAGTATTTTCTCACGCATTTTGGGGCAGGTCAAAAGTTGTGGTTGGTCTTCTTCTCGGGCTCCTTTGAGCTTTGGGCGTAGACTGCTTAAGCTCGTGGCAAGCTGCTCTGTCCATGTTGAAGCGAGTGGGCATTCCTGGTACCGATTAGGAACCAGGTCTGAAACTCGAATTGCATCAGTGTACCCGGCTGATCCGACCCAAAAATAAATAATTATGGCGTATAAATTGCCCTTAAATTATCTTCGCATCCGTCTTGATCCGATAAAAGAAAAGAAAAGAATCGTAAAATAGATCCTGCCATCCTGGGCTCAATATGAGCTGGTCGACGCGTGGGCGTTGACCGAGCGAACCTTGAGTCGCAGGTCCATGTATAATGTTCTTTTATGGCTTTTCAAGGAAACCAATTCTGGAAAAGGTACCAGGACATGCGCGGAGGGCCTTAGTATATGGCCCCTGCCTTACAATCACAATACAATGCCAAGTTCAGTAAAAATCCACAGGCAGGTAATTTTCTCACCTGTGAAACTCGAAAGGGTAAGCTTTCTGAGGGCCTTAGCTGAGGGACACACCAAGGTAGCCGACGACAAGTTGAATTCGATTATATACTCGAAAGATAACTGATAGCCAATAATTTAAGCCCTGTTTAAGGGCTTAAGGCCTGGCCAAAAAATCCTTAAGGCCTTAATTAAGGCCTCTTTAAGGGCTTAAACATTTAAGGCCTTAGCCCTTTGGGCGAACACTGTTTTTTGGTGTGATTTACACGGTTCTTGCCGCCTCGGCACGAATATTGATGGCGTGATGGCTTTAAATTACGTGGCAGCACTTTCTTTCTTCCTCCACGCCCTTGCTGTGTGCCCTTAACGAACTAGCAGTCCATAGAATGCATCGTGCGTTGCAAATCGTTGAGGTTGTGGACATGATATGTGCGCAGCTTAACACTGGCGGTCTCACATTTCTACTCCCCAAGAACACCTCAGGCAATCTCGCTCGACTCGCGAGAACGTCCTCAATCTTTCTCGGACCTGCGCTTAATCTTCTTTGGAGAAACCAGGGAAATATTATAAATCTCCTCCATTGCATGCCAAGCGACATATGGGATATCTCAGAGAATCGAGATTATGCGGATGATGAACTGGCAGTTGTTACAATCGTGAGATGCAACCCACTTGTTCTTGCGGAGAAACACTCATTGCCTCTATAGGTCCTGCGCCGGGCCGTAGTCTTCGCCGACTGGGAGCGCTTTCGCTTTTATTGCCACCGCGTCAAGTCATTTAGCTTTGATCAAGAACACTCTCTCCAGAGTCCGGACGTGTACGAGACCTTGAGTCTGTGCTTCCCCGACCAGTATATCTTTCCTAATCTTCAGAAACTCGAATGGTTTCCGCTGGGAGACTCCGAAGCCTTTGGTTATATCCGCTTGTTTATTTCCCCCGGAATCACGGATCTTCACCTCACCATCGACACCGTCTCAAAGCTTTCGATCCTTCCGATGTTCGCGTCTGCATGTGCCTCTCTGAAGAATGTTGTCATTGGCTCTCCCCTACTTCCCGCCGTTAAACCCGTACCAGCCTTATCGAATTTCGTGTGCACGTTGCGGCACCTCGAGACACTGATTGTGGCTGATCTGACCCCGGAAGCCATGTCCCACATATCCGAACTCCCGTACCTGCGCTACCTTTGGCTCATGTCCTCGGCCCCCGTTCCTTCATTCCAACCTCCCAAACGATCTCCTCCCTTTCCTGCCCTCAAAGTTCTCGAGTACGAGTCGATGGAGCATGCCCCCGCGTTCTTGGCACTTTTGCTGAAATGCCCATTGGCGCAACTCACAATTTTCTCAAGGGGTACTAATGCCCCCACGGCAGAGATAACAGCTCGACGATTCTATTCGGCTCTCGCAACTCACTGCCTACCGTCGTCACTTGAAAGAATAGCCATCACCCCAGGTCATTGGACCATACCCATACCCGAGCACGAGCGTAGTATGTACCTCGTCAGCGGGGATATTCTTCGGCCTCTCTTTTTTTTCAGCAATCTTGTCGATGTCGCGCTCACGCACCCCGTCGGTATAGACCTGGACAATGTTGTGGGTCGGGAAATGGCCCGCGCATGGCCCCGCATTGAGCGCCTCCAACTCAGACCGCAGCACCTTCATCGTATCACCCCCCGGATCACACTTGAGGGCATCTATGCCTTCGCACAGTACTGCCCACGACTACAGCTGCTCTGCATCGCCTTCGATGCCACGCTCATTCCCATGATCGAAAATAACCCATCCTCTCAACGCAACTTGGTCCAACTCGTAGTCGCATACTCACCCATCAGCGAACCACACCGCGTCGCTCATTTCCTGTCCGTCATTTTCCCGCATCTGGACTACATCGGAACCGTGTACACGGAGCATCATCTCGGGTGGCGCGGCCCAGAGGTAGCGGCATCCCACCAGTTGTGGAAAGAAGTCGAAACAGCGCTTGACGGTCGTTAGTAGAGTATGGTGTTAGTCTTTGCGTCCAAATTCAATTTGAAATTTCAGCCCATCTCTTCTTCCCACTCACTGGTACGTCACTACTCCATCAATTCCTCCTCTTCTCGGGCTTACCGCCACGCGCAGTCTTTTCTGTCAACACATACCATACGTTCTTCTCTTCGTCGCACTTCCTCTGATCTGCCAATGTTGTCCCTCGCTCTTTCTTCCGACTTTAATTTAAATTCTTTCCTCAACATCCAGTCCTCCATTACTCGCACTAATTCATTCGGCGTTTGCCCACCACCAGTCTATCCCCACCTCTGAAGCTCACGGTCGCGCACATTCCTGTCTACCGAATTCGCAACATCAGGAAAAAATAAATTCTACGTAGTTAAGGCAGCATCCATGTAGTCATCTGTAGCCATTGTAGTCGCACGATTAGATCTGTAGCCTGATGTAGCTGTCTATACTCAGTATGGGAGTGTACATCAGCAATATGAACCACATACTCAATAGAGGAACTACACGATGTGTGTAGACAACGGAGCCAACATTGAACAATATAGCTTGGCTTTCGGATCCTGGCTTTCAGGCCACAAAATGATTGAATGCATTGTTCCGAGACATAATATTGGGTTGGAGGGTTGCCACTATCATTACAATTGACCAACTGGTTGTCCTACATGATGCCTTTGCACTGGCACATATACTTGGCTGAAAGATGAGCTCAGAATGTACTAAGTCCTCTGTTGCAATCAGCTGTAGAGACCTAATCTAGTGGTCTCATTGGAACAACCTTAAGTGCTTCTGTAGTCTACCGGTCTGTGTGTCGTCTTTACAACAATATTAAATGTGAAAAAAATTTGCAAAAAATGTTCTGTCTGAGGTCCTGAGTTCGATCCCGCTTGCCAGTACTTAATAAAAACAGTTATAAGACGCTGGAAATAAAAGTAGGGGAGTACAGCATGTAAATGTTTTGTTATTCTTTACTGCTCATCCCCTCCTCCCCAACGAGCTTTGGTAGGCCTTCAATAAGGCGGAATAAGGCGGCTGGCTGCCTTCACCACAGTTGACAATGGTATCCGGCCGCTTCACCACAGACAACTACATGACTTGCCGGTTGGCTACAGGTGACTACATATGGCTACACAGATGTCACGCTTGGCTATGGATGCCATATAAAGGGGTACCTAGCAACGAGGCTACATAAAATACATGTCCTACATGGACCTCTGTCGTTGTATCAGTTTTTCCTGATGAATGTTTCGTTTTCTCTCCCGCAGAAAGATCGAAATTATTCGGCACGAAGGGTTACATACACCTATCTATATGTAGCTATTGTACTCGAAAGGGAGTAAATAATTTAGATCTAAAAAGCAAGAACTTCGGGAGGGGGGGGTCTATAGAATGGGTTTTCTTTTCAGGGACCACATACGCTATTTGCGCGGCTAGCCGCGCAGTGTAGGTAGGTAGGTAGGTAGCATTACGCGGCATCTGGGATTTCCTATGATTGATGCGAAAACAGAAGTAGGGACAAGATTGTGGGATCCAAGTGCATACGCGGGATTGCGTAAATTTCACAAAACGAAAGGGTTTGATCCAGACAGCCCAGATGTAGCACGGCCGCTTTATCAGCTTTCACAAGATACGGAGGTGCTATTTGTAGATGGTGAGTCAATTTCTACTCCGTCCCCTTTCTTACCCATTTCAGCAGTGGAGGAAGGTTTTGATCCAGAAACGGCGAGAGAAAGCGGTTATCCAGCCAC